CAGTTCTGGTGTGCCGTCATCCGTCATCTTCTGGAGATTAAGCATCCTAAATTTCTAAGTGAGTGTGTCCTGACTATGATCGAGTTCCTTCCAAACCTACTGCTTTGGAATCTGCCTCAGAAAACAATGTTTTGTGAAGTGTAGTTTTACTGTATATACAGTAATGCATACTGTATAAACAGTAAAACATTATATAGTAAAACATAATATATATAGTAAAACATATTGGATGAATACTAAAACATATATACATGTGTGTGTGTATATATGAAATGTTCCAAGCCTCTCTCATAAAAGTTCTTTCCTGGTAGACTGCAACTGAATATTTCAGTGTTTCATTTCCATCTTCTTGTGAATCATTCAAGATCCACTGCTTTTATATAAATAAATTATCACCACTAATTGCTTATATAAAATGGAAAAATGAGGGAATTAGGAAGAAATGTTGAGAGTAAACAAAAAGCTTTTAAGGGTCTGCATTGGAAATTGCTCAGAAAAGCAATTTGGGGGGGAAAAAAATGTATTTTTAGAAATCTTCCACTTTATTCAGGAACATGGAAAATTTCAGCATTACAGAAATGAAAAAGGCCACCTGTTTGTCTGCAGCTGTCCTGCAAAACAGCACAGTGCTACTGACAACTAATAATATCTCTAACTCGCAGAAGCGCCATGCACTTGGCATTTTATTCAGTGTTCTGTGTAGACATACAGCTTGGCTTGCTTTTGTTTTCCCCGAGTTTATCTGTATATCTCATCCAGACCATGTAGTAGCACATCTAACAAATGATGGTTCCACAGTGATAAGCTGCAGGTCTGATTAGTGGCATGGATACAGTGAAAATATTTTGTATACTATTGTGGCAGATGAAAGGAATGGAAGTGGGCCAATTTCAAGCTGTTTGCCATTGCGTCTGATCAGCAGATCCTATGGATGGAATTTGCCTGCTGTGAATATTTGATTCTCACTAGCTTGAACTGTCTTGTGTGTTGGCAGTGCTACTGTGTGAATTTGCAGTGGCTTTCCAGGGTGTCTGTCCTGCACAACTGCCAGTTTCTGGGGGTTTTTAACAGGCTTCAGGATTTCGTGGTCTACTTTGTGTGTGAGGAAAATGACTGAATGCTATCCAGTGAACATTTTTTCATATTTATAACTCACGGGTTATCAGTGTTTTAAAAAAGGAAAAAAAAAAAAAAAGGAAAAAAAAAACTACAAGTGAGCAGCGTATTGCTCTTCCTCCTTCTCTCCACCTTCCTGGAGGTGTAACCCCTCTGCCTCCCACTCTCTCTGCATTACCTACAGGTGGTTATCCTGGCAAAGTGATTTTGCAGAGTTGAGTCTGTCAGGTTGCACACCAGAAAGGATGAAAAGGTGACTGTGTTGAAATGAGGTGGTGAAAGCAGGAGCAGCTTTACAGTCCCTTCCTTGCAATGGCACCTTTTGACTCGGTTCTCAGAGAGTCAGTGCCCCGCACACCTGTTTGTCCATCCCTGCTCCTCCCTGGCCCTTCTTGCTGGTTCATGGCTGGCTTTGCCCAAGAGTTTCTGATGTTTTGTCTGTTGGTTAATTTTTCTATTGTGAAATTCTGTATAGCAAAACATTTACATTAATAGCACTTGCATTTCTAATACTTACAAGTAAATGACATTAGTTATAGTGCTGATCTAATAGTCAGGACTCCACTTAAGCAAGCAGAAAAGGGCTGGAGTTTATTTAACCTGTCAGTGTATCCTGTGCTTGTGTCTTCTGTCTGTGGCTACACTGAAGTGTTTGTTGTCTGTAAGCAGCCTGTTTAGAGTTTATGTCATCTTATAGATAAAGCATAGATAAAATCTATAGATTAAATTTATACATAACATGTATAGATTTATGCAAATCTATAAATATCTATATTTATAGCTATAAATTTTACCGAGAAAAAAATAGATAGAATTTGCAAAAGAAATTCAGACTGTAACCTGTAAGCTCACTCTTCCTCTGGGTGTATGAAGGACAAAAGCTGGAAGAAGATTTTTGATTGAAAAATGGTGTGGACTAAAACCAAGAGGAGCCAGCAGGAGATGGTTGCAGGTCCTCTGGGGCTGTAGGAGATGATGTGCTGACCAAGTGACCCGTCCTCTGTCTATTCCAACTCTGCGACTGCAGTGAGTAACCGCTTGGAGAAGAGCAATATCATCTCCATTTAATGTATTGAGGAAATACATTAGTGCCTTGCAGGGGCTGCCAGAGGGACTGAATTCTGGTCATGCGTCTTTGGAGACCACTGTAAAAGATACTGCCCTGCTAACAGACACAGCAGCTGGCCGCGCTGCGATCTGTGCCATTGCTGTGTGACCCATTTGCGTGACCTATTTAACTCTACCAAGTTGTAAGGAGCTGGACATGTAGGTTAGGTGTGTGTTTTCAGTCATTTGTTTAAAGTAAGAATGTTTTATATACACTGCTGCTTGTAAACTACTTTTTTTCCTTTTTTAGTTTCTGTAACAGCAACAAAGAACTGGCACTTTAGGTGACTATAGAAAATGAGTACTTACAGCAAACAGATATGGAGCTATACTTCCTCTCAAAACATGTAAGCAGAATTTTCTGAGAACTGAAGAAACCAGGACCTGGCCAATGCAAAGTGTAGTAATCCTGAGAGAAAGCTTTGCTGGGAGCTGGGTCTTATGATAAGACTCCTTTCTCCTTTTAATGGCTTAGGAGTGTTGTTCTCCAGCGTCTTCATAGAACTAACAAATACAAATTTCAGCTGTACTGGAGCAAATCAGGAAAGGTTTAGTTTTGCAGAAGTATGAGATACATTTTGGCTTGGGGATAGGCAGCCTGAGCAGGTTTACCTGAACATCTGTCACATGAAAATAATTTATTTGCTGTTTGGTGTTTTTTAAATCCTTTTAAACAAAGTGCCATATTTAGGACTATTGGGGAATAAAAGCTATGAGATTGTTAACAAAAGCAAAAACTTCTTTCAGTGCTCACTGGTTGTATCTTGTTGGCATGAGTGCCCATACGAGATGCCAGCTTTCTGACAAACTGTTTGTGTGATGGCGTTAGTGACTGTTGGCAAATGTTTTTATGATGACCATCAAAATAAAAGCATGTATGAAAACAGGCATAGAGTGGTGACACTTTGTTTTTTGAGAAGTGGACATTTGTTCATCAGCAGAAGAATGAGTTTCCAAACCACATGGCTGCCAAATGGCTGATATTTTTTTACTGATTATCTTAACTTGGATGTGAACTTTTGGCATAAAGATGGGTGCGATTAGTTATCCCCCCCTTTTATTATTTTCTGAACCTATTAGGTTATGTGTCCTCTACATCCTGTATATTTTTATTAAGAAATATTGCTAGGAAGTTTTTTTAAAATGCTTTTGCATTTTTATTAGATTTACACATTGCTCCACCCACCACTTGGAAGTGACCAGAACTGTCCTCCATCAAAGACTAAACACAAGAGTTATTCATGATGCAGTTGGAAAAACTATAATGCAAACAGTAAGCCAGATGGAGAATTTTACAAGCATCTTTTCATGTCATGAATGATGCTGTCTCTCTGGGTTATGGGCTCTCTGCTCTCTTGACTGCTGTTTCTTTCCCCCTGGCTCCCCTCCTGAGCTGTTAAGTTTCAGTCGGGGAAGAAAGGGAGATTTGGACTCCCCTAAATTTCCAAGTCTGTATTTTTTTTGTGGCGTGGCATGTGACAGTGAGCTTTGTGTGCGAGAGTGTTGGCATGGAGAGAGCTGCAGTGATTAGCATGCTGATCGCTGCGCCCCGACAGAGTAAACAGTGTGGCTCTTGCCGAGCTATGGCCGTGCCACCCAAAGTCCTGGGAGCAGATGTGGGGACAGCCCTGCACACAAGTCCTCCTCTGTCACACAGGGTGGGCAGGAGGCGAATGGTGCCCCAGCTTCTCTGCTTCCCAGTTTTTACAGAAATGGAGGTCTATGCCACGTGCTGTGGCTCTGCCTCTGTCTCTTCACCTCTTCCAGTTGGAGGTTTGAGGTGAGAGGCCTCAGAGAATATCAAGCTGTACGTTATATTGATACTTGTCCACACATCTACCATTGTGGTTGCTGATCTAGCAACATGTATATCTAAAAACTTGTTCTCTATGACCTTCAAGATTTATCTGCGTAAGAAAGATTCACTGGTTCTATAAAAGGGGGGTCATGTACATGCATATGTGTAAGAAAGTATAAAATGTATATTAAATGTATATGCACACATATAGGTTTAATCCCCTTGGTGCAAACCCATATTTGGTTTGAAAGAGGCTTATATCCCTCTGTGCTTAATCTCTCTCAGTTACTGATTTTTACTTTTTACACTCAGAAAAGTGTAAATCTTCCATAAAAAGTGTTACAAAGTTGGTGGTGTTTTTTCCTGCAGACAGTGATTGCATAAAGTGTAGCTTCAAGTGTTTTGTTTGGGGACAAGGCAATGCCTCTTTTCCCAATGGCTTCTGGCAGGTTAAGGTTAGAGAGGCAACAGACCAGTTGTGTTAACTAGGAGTAACTAGATTGTTTGTATCAACGTCCAAAATGTTTTCTGAACAAACTGTTTGCTTAAATGGTGGTGGGTTGTTTGATGTCTACCCTTCCTGCTCGCTTCAGAAATCCAGCCTTTTCTTTCCTGCCTCATAACATGCTGAAGTTGTGTTGGCAGCCCACAGCAGTAGGTGGGGAAATCAGCAGGGCTTTTTCAGTTAAAAAAGTTGCCAGCATCTGGGTTTGGAAAGAGAAAAGTCAACAAGCTTGTTGCAGTTACATATTTAAAATAAAAAAGAAGAAAAAAGTTTTGTTTCATATTTTTCTGGTTTTCAAACAAAACATGTACTGACTTCTTAAATTATGTGACTGGAAATATCTTTGGTTCTTTATTTAACTAGTGATACAACTGTTTGTGAGCTGTTACTGGGTCAGGGAGAGGTTGGTTCGGTAGGATTATTTTTTTCAAGGAAGAAGAGTTAAAAGATGTGGGTTTTTTTGCCTCGTTTCAGGATAATATCATCTTATTCTTAAGAGGCTGCAAAGAGCTGGGACTTAAAGAATCTCAGCTTTTTGATCCTGGTGATCTGCAGGACACATCAAACAGAGTAACCGTCAAGTAAGTACAACAGCAGTTTGTGATTAACATGTTACAACCTCAAATGCATGTGATGCAATAGTAAATATTTAAGGATGAGCAAAAAAGCTATAGAACTGTCATTTGTAGAATGCAAATAGGAAACTGAGGTTTGGGAAACCTTCAACGCTGGGAAGAATACATTGTTCCCTTCAACAGGCTTTCTTTAAGGGCTGTTCTTTTTCCCGGAGCGATCAACCACAGCTCTTTTAAAATACTGGTTTAGTTAGGCAATGAGATTCTGTGGGACTTAGGGGTTTTCCTGAGTCTGAATTGGTGGCATTCTTTTTTGTCTGTCCACCTAATGAACTATGGAGGCTGGGGAGAAAAATCACAGCTCTGTTATTTCAGATTGAACTGTTTCAAAGATGCATTATAGGATATTTATAGGCTTCTCAGACTCTACAAGGTGCAGACATGAGCACAGTCTGTTTATTTTCTAAAAAGAACTGTAGGTTGAGACACAATATTGAGCTATATATATCTGTGTGAACTGTGTGGACTGGAAATGCCACAGTTTAGATACTTTTCCACCAAAGCCACATGCTACTGCACAAATTACCACACACATATTAAGAGGTTCTCCTTCCTAATAATTAATTAATGTTTTTTGGGGGAGTGAAGTGATTTTTCAAAAATCACCTTTTAATCAACAGCTTTTTAGCTGTGGTGTGTGCACATCACTCACTGCAAAGAGTACTAGGTGCTTAGACTCTAATGCTTGTATTTTCAGCATTTAAAACTGATTTAAAATGTAGAAGTGAAACTGTCACAGAAAGACTTACTGACTTTCCTAAGGTCACACAGAGCAGGCTTACATCAAAGTCCATATAGTCATAGATTGAGGTCTTAAATAGGATCTGTTGTCCCATTCAGGGAAGACTTTTTCATCATGGACTAGAGGAACAGAAGCAGTCAAACTGTATTTTTCTCTTATTTGCATGAATGGCAATCAAGCTCCCCAACCCCCAAAATCAAGAGAATCCCACACTTTCATAACATTAACAAAATTTTAATTAGTGCTATTTTAGAAGTTTTCCTGAAATTTTTGGGTCTGTCATGTGTTATATTAAAAAGTTATTGCTCTACAGACAAGAAAATGCTGCTGAGTTGATTGAATGGCTTTGTTTCATTTGGCCGAAAAGATTTTGGACTGAAAGATCACTAATGAAATCCTGGTCAGACCTATCCATTTTAGGAAAGTATATGGAAACAATTTACTAAATTTCAGCAACATTCTATTTTTTTTCCCTTCTGGGAGTGGAAGCTGGGCAAATTTTCATGGTGTTCAAGCACTGTGTGGGAAAATCAAAAGGTTATGAAAATCGAATTGGCCACTTTCCTTATTTTAAGGAATAGTCTCCCACTGTTCCCTCCTTTCCAAGTTTCTGGCTCTCACATGAGGTGGTTCTTGCCTGTACATACAAGTGAGAGGGGGCTATGTAACATATTTCTTCTAAATCTGGTAATATTGCAATGAAAGAGGTTCTTCACAACGTCCTATAAAGTCCTGACAATGAGTGGTTGGAGAGAGTTGCAAAGCAACCTGTAATCTCCATATAAAACCATAATCTCCATATAAAACCCGTTTTAAAAAGGGTCCTTCTGATAAGAAGCTTGATTTTTCGGGGTTGAGGATGGTGGAGCACCTCGAAGGAAGCTGGGGCTAGCATGGAGCTTCAAGGAGAGCTGTCCAGCACACAAGCAAGTTAAACCAGGACTAATAAACTGTAGAGCTGGCTTGGCCCTCTGCTGAATAATATGCTAGATGGATGTGAAGTGTCTCACTGGCATGGATTTTTTTTTCCCCCATCAACTCTTCAGAGAAAGCAGCAGTGGAAATGAGCCAAATGTTTTCCTAGCACTGTCCAAGTTCATGCTGAGTAACGGAGTTGAGGTGTATAAGCCAAGTCCATGACTGTTGTAGAGAAATATGTTCAAGACTGTCTTGTGCTAGCTAGTTCCCAAAGCATGAAGGTGATTTTTTTTTTTTACCCTCTTTGAAGACTTTTTGGTTATTTTTTAATCGTGGTAAAAATGGCATTTGTTCTGTGGTAAAGATGATGAATATGATATTATTGCACATGATTAAGATAATGACATTTTTAATAATTTTAATATAGATATTAATTGAAGTATGCATTAGATCTATTTATTTTGGAACATCAAGCTTATAAAAGTTATGAGCTAATGCTGTAAAGAATTTCTTCTTGATTGGTTAAGTAAGACTCTTTTCCACTGCTATTAAGAAAAAAAATAGGACTTTTATTTTTATTAGTATGTGGGTATTGGCAGAAAAAATTTTGGCTTAAAAATATATATTATCAAAAATACTTTGGTTTAGTATTGCCTGTACTTAGGCTTTTGTTGTTCTCACAGATTTAAATGCATTTATTTTTGTTTTTATTAGGTAACCTTTAATGCTGGAGTGGACTTACTCTTATACTAGGAGGCAATTCCTTTATAAATAATCAGGAGGCAATCTGTACTAAATCTGAAGTAGTCTTATTTATTTCTCAGCACCTAAATGTGATACAGATTTCTTTTTTTTCTTTTTTAATGGTTTCTTTGCTGAATTTTGAAATTTTGTTCATGTTTGCACAAACTATGTGCTTTGTTGTTTGTAACATAAAACTTCCACTCTTTTTGATGAACACTGGTAAAAAAATAAATTGAGAAGGATGCCAATGTTCAGTCTGAGTGCTCAAGTATACATTCAAAAAATAAATGTTCTCCACCGCAGGTTCTGTTGTAAGTGGCAGGATCTTTGTCGCTTCACCCATCTAACTTCGTTCTTTGTGATGCTTGTTTCCACAGAAGCACCTGTTCCATTTCCTTAATGTTTGGTGGTGATTTCCTCAGTCTCCTATGCATGTTCAGTTGCTTCCAGAATCTGTATGGGTTGCATGATTTATCACAGAGCAGAATCTGACTGTTGGATTACTGCAGAATGCATTTTAGCAAAGAGGACTTTGGTCTTCTTTTTTTAAGAAATCAGCAACTCTGTTTAAAGGAAATATTTTTGGCACTGCCCTACTGTACTGTGGGACCATTATAAACACATTTTCTTTTTGTACTCCCAGAATTCTAATTTAATGATTGAAGTAACGGTGAGGAAATACTCCCGAGTTATGAATAAATGAATGTGTGAATGACACCTTCATAGCTTTCATGTGTTTCCAGACAGCAGAAGCATTCTGCAGGCTTTTGTTAGAGAAAACGTGATCTGCTGCATACACGCTCTTGGACAGTGTATCTGCCTTCTGATAATTTTTTTCCCTCTTGTTTTTTTTTGTGTGTGTGTATGTGCAACCAGGAACATTGACTATAGTAGGAAGCTGAAAAATGTAAGTACATGACTTCGAGTATTTTTTTTGTCTGGTTAATCCTGTATTTGGCCTGAGCAAGAATTATGTCACTAAAATCTTAGTACAGATGAGTATTGCTGAAGAGTTCTTCTGAACATAACCAGACTCTACTGCAAGCTTTGGTAGAGCTGCTATAGCAAAGCAACCTTAGGATAGAAATACAATGGAGAATGTTTGCCTCTGGTTAATTAAGGGATAAAGAATGTGATCTCTGGGCTGTCCATCATGGTTTTCACTAAGAATGGTCTGACTCACCCATGAAGCTACGCTTTTGTGGCCTTTCATGAATATATAGGCATAAAGTAAATTTGCACAAAATATTTTAAATGAAGCAAAACGGTCATTAGATCTGGAAGCAAGTCTTTACTGTCAGATTTGCTAGCTTTCTTGTTGTTCTTCCAAATAAATGAGTGTTTTCCCAGAAAAGCTAATTCCATTTAATTTTAATTTCTTGTTGATTTAAACTAATAGCAATGATAATGGATCCTGTAATTGTAAAGTAGAAAGAAAATGGCTAAACTTTGCTGGTCTCAGGATCAGTTATTATCCTAAAGCCTAGCATGCTATCTGTCCTTAGTCAGCTGTAAACTGCTATAAATTAATTTTATATTTGGCTCACATACCTGTAAACAGCTAGGAAATGCCAGGACCTTTTCCTAATATCTTTGCAGGCCAGTAATCATGACTGCAGGTAAAAAGAAACCAAAAACAAACAAACAAAAAATAAACCAAAAAACACACATAAAAAAACCCCCAGATTATTCCATCCTGTCTTTCCTGTCATCATTAGAGTACTATCTTCTGCATCCAGCACACAACGTTATAGGGGAGGAGTTCAGCTTTGGCATTTTAGCACTCTTGTGGACACTGTCTCAATGTCTTTGTACAGATGTATTGTTTTAAAGGTAAAATTTCAAAAGCATCGTCCACAATGTGCTTGTAGGCAATATATGCTTTCCAGGTGCATGACCTTGCTACCTCGGCTGGCAGCCAGTCGGAATTGCTTGCAAATGTGACATTACTTGGAAAAAAAAGCCAAGTGGATAAAGAAAGGAAGAAGAGGGAAAGTGATCAAATGCTAGCAGAAATAAATAAAAATACCACAACTTCCATCAGAGAACTGAATGGCAAAATGAACTGGACAGTTTCCTGGTTGCTAGGAATACTATATTTGCAAGTGTTTTCACTTAACCTGAGAACATGTTCTGTAAGAATTTTTTACATAAATTTGTTGAAAAGCATTGGTTGAAGGAAAACAGCTCAGATAGAGGTTGGTTCAAGACAAAAAAATCAGTATTGGTGAAACCACTTCCTTTCCCTCAGCACAGTAGTATCAATTTGGATGTAATTTTAAAAACAAGGGGAAAATTTCTGAATTCATTACAAATGTTACTCAGTTATTTCATGGCATGTATATTATTTATAAACTAAAGGGAAATATTAACTATATTTTTTTATAAAATATTATTTATTTTACATTGTGCACCAGAGTTGTTTTTAAACAGGGGATCTGTATGACACATGCTGCATCCTTTTCTGGAAGGGCCTCAGCTGGAGTGCTGTGTGTGATTTTGGATGTCACAAACTAATTGAAAAATGGGGATGCCAGAAAAAGTTGATGAGAAAAGGCTGATCAGAAGTCTAGCCTATGTGACTGAAGAGGAAGCACTGAAGGAATGTGGGTGCATGTTTTAGGGAAGAAGAGTCTGACAGAGATGTCTGTCCCCAACACCTCCTAGGGATTTCTCCTATTCCTGTTTTCTTTAGTTCACTATATATTATGAATTATATGGCCCTGTCCCATCAAAACATAAAATACTATATTTAAGTTTATTTAACTTTCTTGAGACAGTTAATGGCAACTATTATTTATTATTGGTTGCACATCTTTTCCACATCAAAATATTTCCTGTTTGTTCTGCAGTTAAATACTTTGCCATGTGACAGAATATGCAGAAATAACGAGAATTAAATGAGAAAAATCCCTAAGTTCTGAGGTGATGGTTTGGCATTTTTAACCACTGCAAAACACTGAAGTGAATTGCCTTTGACAATCAGTTTCCATTCCAAATTACTGCTGCACAGGTACCATTAAAGGCATTGCTTTAAGTGAAGACATGTGTGGGTGCAGAGAAAGACTGTTTGCTTCCCCTGCATGATATAAATATCAGTGTTTTCAGAAGTGTTGGATTTGACCATCCTGAGCATCTTAATTTCTCCTTTCCTAAAACAAGTGCAGCACCAGCAACGTCAGATCAGATTTCTGTGCTACCTAAGGGAGCATATAAAGGAATATAAACATTTGCAAGAGCAAATCTTGGCTTTTTTTACATGCCAGTTTTGAAGTGACTTTTGAGTTATGGGGAGACATCAAGTCAGAACTGGAATGAAACCACTAACTTTCCACTTTAGTCTGATAGAAACAACCAGATGCTCATGGCTTTTGATTAGTCTTGGGCTAAGCATTTCTTAAGCTAGTAGAAGCCTGGAGTAAATGTTCCTTTGTCATCTGGTTAATTACATTAAGATGGTTAAAAATGGAACTACCTTTTCTGTCCTTGAAATAGGCAGGCACACATTTCGGATGTTTTATTTATTCCATTAGTCTTAATGGTTTTAATTAATAGCCAGTAGTGTTAGTACTCTTCAGGGATTTTTTTTTTTCCTATTGGATTTGCAGACAGATATATTTATAGGTGTGTCCTCTATACAGTTTCAAATATGTTGCCTAGTTTTTCTATTTGGAGTAATTTTTGCTGTTTATTTTCCAAGCAGACATTAACGTTTCATTTTTTAATAAAAATTTCAGAAAGATAATGTGTTACATTACATGTTCTGTAGGACTGTTTAAATTTTCGTAGTTGTCCAATGTATTTGTTTAACCGCTGACAGACACCTTCCTTTCAATTCTGATTTATAATAAAGTTTGTGCTGCTCAGCAGTTTAGAATAAATGAGAGGTGAAGGGAAGTAAGTTTAGCTAAGTGACTGTGTAGATGGCTTCAATTAATTCTTATTAACTTCTGCAGGTATTAGTCACCATTTATTGGCTAGGGAAAGCGGCAAACAGCTGCACATCATATAGTGGATCAACCCTGAACCTGAAGGAGTTTGAAGGTTTGCTGGCACAAATGAGAAAGGTATCTTTTTGTTAATGTTTTGGGAATGGAAATTTCATTCAAATTATTACTCCCATAAATAACCTGTTTGTTGCTAAATATGAGAGAAGTGGTGGGCTGGAGTACAAATTACAAATGCCTGCCTCCTTCGAAAATGTTTCTGACTCTACCAGGCCATGAACACAACTTTGTTTGGCAGCCTCCTTTGCGGTGGTATCAATCATGCAGCACATGGTGTCGAACAGGGCTTTAGAACTGTCACGTGGCTCTGTCATCTGCATTTCCATATATTCTGGTTTCAATTATTTTCATTTATGACAGAGAGCTTCAGCTAGAAGAGCTGAGACTCAAAAGTAAGGTGGCAGGACTCACAGGAGCAGAGATTTTTCTTGTTAAGAACATTCACAGAATCACAGAATCATAGAATGTT